TAAAAGATCAGAAAAATTCTACATGCAACAAAACTGCCCTTCAAAAATGACAGTGAAATAGATATTTTTCGATAAACAAAAACAGAGAAGTTGTTGCTCCTTATATCCATTACTCCAGTGTCTATTGCAGCCTGACAAACTACCCAAAATTAAGTGCATAATCAAACAATCACCATTTTATTGTGTTCACAGCTTCTGTGGGTCAGTTTGGAGAGGACACAGACAGTGTCTCATCTTGGCTTGATGGTTTATGAGCCTCGCCTGCATGAGTAGGATCCAGAAACATGAAAGATTGATTGCTCTCAGAGCGTTTTCCTTAGGTTAATTCCAGGGAAGTATTTTTTATTTATTTAACTTTTTGCATAGAAGTAACTGTGGAATAGGCCAGAGGTGCGGGGGGGTGGGGGGCGGTTGGGGGTGTGGTGAGAGGATTCTCCAGAGACAGGGTGGGGGGCAGAACAGGCAGATCTATTGAAATACACTGTTGAGGGGAGCAGCAGGCTAGACAGGAGAAGTCCACTGTTCCATGTGTGGGTCAGCTCCCTGAGGGGGATGGAATTCAGGGTGTGGTCTTAATAGTGCTGAGACTTAACCCCTATGCCACCAGGGGGGCCTGGAAGTATGTTTTATTAGTCCCTGAAATAAGAGCCATGCCCCTCCCACCTGTAAGACCTCTATTGGGTTTTTCTGTTCAACTCTCTCTTATTAAATTATATTTCACTCTAAGCTTTCAGAGGCACTGTTTATTTTTTTAAAAATGGATTGCGTGCCTCTCATTGGCTGCATCCTGTAACTGGATGAAGTGGTCCACCTCCAAAGAGCTGACGACGAGAGGTTGTAACAGAGAGAAAGCCAAACACAGCGAACATGGGAAGGAGCTTGCGGGGGCACTAAACTCAAACGGCCTGGGAACAGCACACAAGGAGGAGACCAGGCACTTTTTTCTTCCCAGCCCTGTTCTGCATATTCCACATGGACATTGAACATGTTACCTCACTTTTTTTTTGTGCAGTAAAAGGAGACTCTGGATGCTTCTACATAGTGCAAACACTCAAAACAGTCAGGCACCAAGTACTTAATAAAAACTGTTATTATTACTATCATTTGACAGGGATTTTTTTTTTTTTTGAAGGATAGAAATGGCTCATCTGAATTCTAGAAGGATGCAGGAAGAAAATCCAAGGAAATGCTTTTATAAAATGCACCGGTAGACACTGGGCTCAGTGCAAAGTCAAAAGCCACCAAGAACCTCCGTGGCAAATATTTTGATGCGTGTTTCACAGATGAGGATGAGATACTTGCCAGTGAGATGCAAAGATGGAAATCAAATGCAAGCATTCTGATGTCATGCTGTGCTCCTGCGACTCTAAATAGGCTGGCTTCTCCCTTGGCTGTTACCCACCCACCATAAACGATGGCTCCCCGGAACTATTAAACCAGTGCACCTGCAGAAAAAGAGGCTGAGCTTTTCTCTGCCCACTCATCAAAAATGCTTTGATTTGTTCTGATTGCAACAGTCTCTGCAACTGGTGGTGCAGGAGAGAGCGAAATGAACTCATTCCAATTTTATTTTGATGGAATATTACAGTGAGTTTAGTTCGTGGAAAGGATCTTATCTTTTGACAAGCATAGCGGAAGAATTTTAATCCAGAAGTCACTTTGAGAACACCGCCAGGTTCCTAAATAGTGAAACAAGAACACAGTCACTTCTCTCCATATGCTTTTAGGGATTGCAAGAAAATGAAAATTTCCACCCAATAGAAAGCACAGTTTGAATTATTGATGGTCTGACAGGTTGTGTGGGCTTTCATTTAGTGCTGAATCACATGCAAATTTGCTGATTTAAAAATCATATTATGCCATTTTAGAGAGGAGGTGGTAACTAAGATTCTGTGTTCTGATAAGTGAATTTTAAGCGTTCCCTGTTTCTCTTTCCTTATCCTAAAGTTTCACATTAATATCATGTAGCCATCTGCAGTATCTTTCGGCATGTAGCAATCCATCGGTTTCATGTTAAAACCATTCTATCTTGCCCCAAGCATAAAACATGTCTACCTACCACTCCAGCCTAGAAATAGCCGCACTTTGGAAAAATTTAACTAGTTGCTGTCTATTATTTGTATGCTGATCACCTCAAGCAATGCACTGGAGTTAGGAAAGCCTCCAACGGGTTTTCTGATACCTCCTTTGAGGCTAATTCTCACTTCTGTATTTTCTTGCACTGATTTTATTATCTGGAAATGACTCTGAAATTATCTGGAGGAATGATCAGCTACATGACAAATTATTCTTTCTTGTAACAAGGAGCATAAATACATCTTCCCATGTCCACATTTTTAATTGGGTTTCAGACCAGAACTCCAATGTTGTTTCACAGAAACCTCTCTGCATTGCATTTATACAATTAGCAAGGACTTCAAAGAAAATTGATGTTTTCTTACTTTGGTGAATTCTGGACTGTAAGTATCTCGATAGTTTATTATCACCTGCTTTAACATTAGCAGCAAGTTCAAGAAGAGCCACATACAGCCTATTCTGTGACATTTTTTACGCCGCACATACAGGCTTTTCCTTCAGGGCCTTCCTTACACAGATGATTTACCAGTTACGTGTTGAATGTGCTACAAACAACTTTTTAGTTTTTAAAATAAACATTTTTTGAAAGAAAGAAAATGAAACTTCTTTTCTTGCTTTTATTTAATCTTGAGTGAGCTTCCATAAAGAATTTTGGGTAAAAAGTGCCCAAATAAAGAGTGGTGATGGGAACTGTAACTCATCACTTTTCAATAAGGTAAGTTTTTGATTTACATGAGGTAATAAAAAGTTTGCACATAATTCTATAGCTCAATGCACTCCTCTATTCACAAATGACTGTTTGACAAATTACTCTTACGTCTTGATCAAATGAAAGACCAAAACATAAATTTGTTAGTCAGAAAATTTTGAGTACTAGAAATTGAATATCAATGCAAATGAGGTTTTCAATTATTTATTTTTTAATAGGAGTTGGCATATTAGTGCCTCTCATCTACCATTTTCCTCTGAAAGGAAGCAGAACTCTTGTTTGGGGGCACGATAAACACAGAATGAAACTAGCACATCTTGGCATTCCAGAAACTATCAAGGAGTGGGAAGGTTTGTCAAAAGGACTTAGGAGCCAATTCAAGGAAGCTTCATGTTGACCCAAAAAGATAATTGGACAAGGAGGAATGAATAAAGAAAGAGAACACGAGACGTTTTCAATAGATGAATCCATAATGAGAGTAAAAAAGTGGTTGGTACCTGGAGGGTAAAGGACGTGGTCAGGCTTTTTCCACTCTCCTGTCCTGGCTTCCACAGCCGCCACCTTGGCCCAAGCAAGGGCCTCCTGGGAACCTGGGCACAGGGTACTCACACCAATAATCATGGGCTCCTGTGCCCAGCGAGCACGGGCATGCGCACACGTAAACAGGCACACCTGAGCCTAGAAGCGGGGCTCAAAGCGGTTCTGGGCTGAGTGCAGAGGTGAGACCATGAGAAGAGAATGAGAAGGTCAGAGAGAGGCCAGGGAGCTCAAGGATGCATGGGGGGCTGGAGGCTTTGTTGCCTGCCTGCCTCCCAGCCCCCTGCAGGCCCCCTTCTGTCTCCTTGCATCCAGCCCCCCTGCCTGTTATGCCTGTGTACCGGGTTCCCTGAGAGCATTAAGGACTTGTGAATATCCACCCAGGTCTCCAGGACTCTTGTCATCCACCTGCCTTAATGCACAGTGAGCCTGTCCTGTGCATGCTGGCACCACAGTATCTTTAAGCATGTGAGAGAACTCACTTTTTAAAAAGAGCTAAAAGGGGCCACACTGGTGGTACAAGGGGTTAAGTCTCAGCACTATGAAGCTATCAGCAGCCACTGTGGCATGCGTTCCATCCCGGGCCAGGGAGATATCCCACATGGCGCAGCAGACCTCTCCCGGCTCACCCACTGCTCCCCTCAGCAGTGTATTTCAGTAGATCCACCTGTTCTGCTCCTCACTCTAACTCTGGTGAAACCTCTCACTCCCTGCACCCCTGGCCCACACTCCAGTTCTTGTGTGCATAAATAAAACAAATCTTAAAAAGAATAAAAATAGCTGAAAGGAGCGACTAAGACAGATATAATGACTTTACAATATAAATTGTACGACTGATTGCAGGAAGTTTCTTTGCAATGATAATCAATGGCTTCTAACATGGCAAAACATTTGGAGAAACCTGAAAGCTTTCTGCAGAGTGAACATTTATAATCTAGGAGTTTGGAGTTCATACCAGAGGAAGTTACCACGAAGAGAGTGAACCAGGGGCAGTTCCAAGGAGTCTGCTGTTGGCATTTAAATATCTCAGCCGGGTGGATGTCTTTTGGCCCTTCTGCCAGCAGCCTTCCACTTGGAAACGGAATTTCATGGCATCATCAATAGATCAGGAAAACCCAATTGTAATTTCTATTTTCAGCAATACCTCTTCTGACTGTTACTAGGTCTCAATGGCTCTGATCCACACTCCCCATAACCACTCCCCATAATCTCTGCACAATGGTAGTAGCTGAATAACTGTTGTTTTATCTACTCTGCCACCAGTGCATTTCCAAGATCACTGGGGCAATCACAGCACTTTAGTCTTCAGAAATTCCCCAAGGTTTCTGTTGCATTATACCAAGTTCATCTGAACTTAATTCCTTTCATTTGACTTTCAGCTGCATCCTGCATTGCAATTTACAGCTGTCTCTCATAGAGACAGCTACCCCTGGGCTGTTGCCTCTCACGTGACTGCATGGCTGGCTATTCCAGGAGGCCAGACCCCTCTTAAGTCTACTTGTATGTTGAACTGATTTATAAGTATTCAAATACCTGAAAATCATAATCGGTGTGTGGCTGTGTGAACAGCTGTCTGAAAATGTGAAAATTTAAATGCCTGCAAGAGGGAAGCATTACTTAACAGGTTTAAAATCTATTCTCCTCTACTATGTGTTTACATAATAAAAAATGGCTCATAACCAATAGTTATAGGGGGAACTGATGGAGATAAAACCAAGAAATCAAATTGGTTTAGTCACAATTTTTTTTCACATTACATTAATACCTTTATGCCATGTAAGTTGGAGCAGATAATGCAAAGTGTACCAAAACGGCTGGACAAAAACCACCGAGGGATGGGTTATTCATTGTACATGATGTTTAGTCCCCTCATTTTTTTTTTTTTTTTCCTCTTGGCTTGGCTCAGTTTGAACACACTCTTTCCTAGCTTACCAATTCTTTCCACATGGTTCTGCTTATTCTGCACATTTGTCCTTGTCTCTATAATTTAACCATTTCAAACTTCCTTACATCTCTTTGCATCAAGCACATTAACCTTACTTTAATTGCTAGTTATAGTATTATGTTAAATGACAATATAGTTTCTAGCATATTCTTCACTTTGTGCAAATTTTACAGTGTCCTTGCTGTACTAATATTGATATTATATTGGTCTCATAATGCATTTTTCATATAAATTGTATTGGTTTTGAGTGGTCTGTCTATAACCTTCTTTTTCCCCATGTCATCTTTTTTTCAGAAGACAAAATTACTTAGGAATGAATATATCTTGTTTCAGTACGCAGTTTAGTAATGTTAGAGAGAAAGCTTTCAACTGCTCAGAAATGGTTTCCTCTATTCCTCTGTTCCCTCACATGAGAATATGTAGCTTAGATTTACCTACACTGACTTTGTGAACTTCTAGTAGGAGACCAGTTGCCACTGTTGTATTTGTCTCAGCTTCATTTAACATTCCTAAGATTACATTTCTAAACTTTTAATTTAGCTCTGAGTTTTGATTTTTCCCAACGTCTCTCCTCTTGCTCTCATCATTGCTAAAGCTATAAAAAAAATAAATAACTACCTTCTAATCTTTGATTAATAGGTCTTGGTATGGCCTTACTATAAGAAGGGATTTGATTATTTACGAATTCATCTTTCAGTGTAAGCCAGTCTTAGCAAGACTGACTGCATGGTATTCCACAAACAAGACCTGTTAATATCAAAGTTTCAGATACTTCATGCTCTATGGATAAAATTCCACCCATGTGCTTTGACAATGTCAGCTCTGCTTGCCTGGCTTGTTCGTGTGAGTTCAAGAAACCAACACTTGGGGCTCTGCTCTTCCCAGTTTGCAGCCAGCATAAACTCAGTGGTCAGGATGCCCATGCAAGGTCTGGAAACAGTCTCCTAAGGTCAATGTGGATGAAGCATCCGAACCCCCAACATGCCTCAGCTGACCTCTCCCTTCCTCACCCAGCTAATGCACTTAGCCAAACCTCCATCTGAATTTGAGGTTTTATTCCAACCTCTCATGGGACCTGGATGCCACTGTAAGTTCCAGTCAGCTAAACTGGGAACTTGATGACCTGAGTTCCTTTCAACCTCCCACTCCCTGATGCTCAAGCTGGAATATTGTTTTTTGTAATCCTGTCTTATTCCCCATGGCTGTGCCTGAACTGTGGGTCACCAGTCACATGATGGAGCACTTGTTTTCTAGAAGCCCTGGAGCAAGTCATGTCCTGCCCCCAGGCAGCAAGTCATGTCCTGCCCTCAGCACACAGGACACAACACACAGGTGTGAGACATGCCAATGCACTGCCGTGGGGGAATCCCTGACCTCCCCAGGTTTGGGGCTATTCTTCTGAGGCTCCTTGGCTCTTGAACTCCACTTAGGTGGTACTAGCATGCTTTCAGCCATGAGCCCCAAGGGACTTTCTTTCCTCTGATGAAACAGGCCAGCACCTCAATGGTGAAGCACTTCTCCGCAGCTCCTGCATAAAAGTACAGAAGAGAGATATTTGTGGGTTCCCCCTGGAAGTTGTCTGTACCTGCATTATCCATATTGCATTGGCTGAACTGCTAGAGAACACAGGGGACATCGACTCCTCATGTGACCAAAAAAATAAAGGAAAAGAAAGAAACAGGGATTACTGATCAACAAGCATCTCTGCCTGGTACATACAAAAATACAAATAGCACCATAAACTTTTGTTTGCCATACCAGAAGCCATTAAAATCGAGGCAAATACTTTAAATTATACTTAAATATGACAGATACTTAATGTAGCTTAAAAATGTCTTTAGAATAAGAACTAGGGACAATAAACACACCACGCATAATGTGATTTTATAGTAGGGAATTTAAAAATAGTAAAGCTATAAGGAGAAGAAGTAAATACCAAATAATTTCAAAAGTCATTATTTTTATAACATCTATATGGATGACATGCAGGAGGGAATATGGAGACTGTTTTTTTTTTTTTCCCTAAATGGTGAGATCAACATATAAATAACTGACTCTATTATGAAGACCAGAGGGAATCACATCAGTAGACAGAATGAATTAAATGAATGTGAAATGATCTTTGACTCCTGCTGGAATCTTACTGACCTAACTTGATTACCTAATTCCTGCTCCATGCACAGTGATTTTCTTTGGCATTGTCAATATGACACTTTCAAGGGTCAAGTTCTGGTAATGAACTACTCCTCCATGTATTGACACATTTATCAGTAGGCAAATGTCAACATCACTAACCCTTTTCTTAATCTTCTATTCAAATTCAAAAATAAATTAACTGTTCTCTCCAGGGTCAAACTCCCATCTCTGGGAGATGAACAATGACTTTAAATTACTGAAGGTAACAAATGTATAAACAAAGAAATTGAAATGGTCTCTGGGGAAAAGCATTATTGTCCATTAAAGATAGACTCAACACTTTGCTCCCCCACTCTGCTCAACTTCTCCATCAACCTTCCCAGGAGAATGTTTATTCAGCTCCTTTGACAACTTTGGCCACTGATACCCTGCATTACCCATAAGCATCTTCCATGACTTGTAGAGAATAAAATCTGTGCAAGTTTTTACTTGACATCATGTGTGGACTATTTGAGGGTATTATCCATTTGTTACATTAGCACAACATAAACATCTCCACCAACTAGCTACTGCTTTTCTCAGCTACATGCCTTCTACTCATACCTTCCTGTGCACTTGTACTTGATTTTTGCCACACTGCACTCAGCAGTTGTCTGCTCCCTCTGCTCATACAGAGAAGGATCATCCTACTCCATTCATTTTGAAATTTCATTCCCGTTAAGTTTTAACCTTCTCTTCCAGGAAATCTTCCCACATGTATGTCTGACTTTACTTCAGCATTTTGCAAGCTTCCATTGAATCTTGAACACAAATTCTGTGCGCCTTTCTGTACATGTGGCTATTTATTCATTAGATGATGAGCTCTTTGAGGGAAGGGACTATATGCTATATTTTACATTTTGATGCCTGACACAATGGGAACTCATAAGTTCCCGAAGTATAAAGAATGAGTTACAATATTGGCCTCAGTTGGAGACCAGCTATACACACAAATCAAATATTTTATTTATTATCCCTGTATGTAATGAATACCTTTCTCTCTGTGCCAAATATTTCACTTGACAAGAGAAATGTAAGGATGCAGTTCAAGTTCATGGTGCTTGAACTGAAGTTCATATTCTTATGAATTAGCAGGTATTTGGCCCTATTTCAATGATGCTAAAATAGTAATGATCATACCATGTGCCATTATGATTAACATAAAATGCCACCAATGCAACTCTGATGTCTTGCTCTTGTTATACAGAATTTGTACTTTATTCTTGTTGAAATATCGTCTTTAGACTTATTCATGATAAATTGGTTAAATTAGTCTGGAGACGTTTTCACATTGGAAGTTTAATTCTTTGGCATGACTTTTCAACTCAAGCTGTCAGTCATACATTTATCCATAAAATGTTATCCTCTGCATTCAGTAGACATATTGATCGGCATTGCTGAATTGGAATAAAATTCAGTTAATATGATTTGTAATGTTTACTTTTTTAAAAAAAAATTGTATCTTTTTTTTATTGAGGTAATGGATACAACACCATATGATTCAGAGGTATTGGTTTATACCTCTTCAGATGAATGGTACCATAACACACCACCACACCCACCACCCAAATACCCACAGTGCTTCTTCTCCCCTTTTGCTCCCCACCCCGATTATTTCTGATCCCCTCAATTCTATGGTCAGATTTCTGGGATTTGTTATTGCCTTAGTTTTGTCTGTCCCTTTGTTTTATTTCTCTATATGCTACAGATGAGTGAAACCACCTGGCATTTGTCTTTCTAACTTTCCCTCCAGTTCCATCCATGTTTTCACAAATGGTAAGATTTCATTTCTTTTTTGCAGTTGTTTATACACCTAGCATCTTAATCCACTCATCTGTTGTTGGGAACTTAGGTTGTTTCCATAACTTGGCTATTGTAAATAGTGTTGCAATGAACATAGGGGTGCAGAGATTCCTTCAAGTTGGTGATTTTGCATTCTTCAGATAGACACCCAGGAGAAGAATTGCTGGATCCATGTAGTAGATCTAACTTTAATATTTTGATTATCCATGAGACTGTGTTCTACAGGGGCTAGACCAGTCTATTTTCCCACCAACAGAATATGAGGTTTCCTTTTCTTCTATCCCTTTACCAGCACTAGCTGTTTCTGCTTCTGATCTTTTTGATATGAGCCATTTTCACAGGTATGTCATGCTCTCTTATTGAGGCTTTGATTTCATATTCAAACTGATAAATGATGATGAGCATGTTTTCATGTGCTTGTTGGTCATCTATGAATTTTCTTTGAAGTGTCTGTCTAACTCTTCTGCCATTTTTTTGATTGGGTTGTTTTGTTGTGTTTTATCAGTTCTTTGTGGATCTTGGAAACCAGCCCCTTGTCAGATGGGTGGTATACAAATGTTTTTTCCATTCTGTTGGTTGTTTTTCATTTTATGATAGTTTGTGTCACTATGTAGAAACTTTATCATGTTTTTAAAAGAATTTTTTTCTTTCTTATTTTTTAATTATTATTTTTCATTTATTTATTTATACAAGCACTGGGTACAGTCAGAAGCGCGGGAGGGTGAGAGAATTCACCAGAGCCAGAGTGGAGAGCAGAAGGCAGACTGACAAAGTACACTGCTGAGGGGAGCAGCGGGCGGCAGGAGAGGTCTGCGCACCATGTGGGACCCTAGCTGGTGGCCAGGGCTCGAACAGGTGCTGCAGAGGCTGCGGGCAGCTTTGCAACCCAGCGCTCATATGCTGCGCCACAGGGGAGGCCCTTTTTTTAAAAATTATTTTTAAGATTTATTTATTTATACAAGAACTTAGGTACAGGTCAGAGGTGCAGGAGGGTGAAGGAATTCACCAGAGAAAGAGGGGAGCAGAACAGGCAGACAGGCCAAAATACACTGCTGAGGGGAGCAGCAGCAGGCAAGGCAGGAGAGGTCTGCGGCACCATGTGGGAATCTCCCTGGCTGGCCAGGGATCGAACCTGTGCTGCAGAGGCTGCAGACAGCTTCATAGCACAGCACTCAACCCGCTGTGCCACCGGGGAGGCCCCAAAACTTTATCATTTGATATAGTCCCATTTATATATTTTTGTTTTAGTTTCCATTGCTATTGTAGTTGAGACATCACAGAAGCCAGTGTCATGGAGTGTTTTGCCTGTTTTCTTCTATTTATTTTATGGTTTTAAGACTATATGTTCAGGGATCATTTCTATGGTTCCTTACTCCTGTTATTTGAATATTCCCTAAAACTTCTGGTTTGTCAACTTCCTCATCCATTCTCTAGAGTAAATTTCATGCTAAGGGTTAATAATATATCCACACTTTGTTTCTGGAATCTTCTTTTAGTTTGGGATTTTATTGCAGTTGATGTCTGTTAGTGTACAGGCCTTGACATCTACATAATGGCTTATGTCTGATTGATGGCAACTATGAGATGAAAGTGATTAAAAGACACATTACAAATACAGAGAGCTTAAGATGTAAAAATAAATGAGTGATAACTAAATAAATACATAACATTTTAAGCTGGAAAAAAATACCACATGATCGGTTACAGAATATTACAGGAATACAGTGGGTCATTGATTCATTTTGTTAGAGGAAGTTAGGAAAACTCTATGTAGTTACAGAAACAGTAATATTATGGCTCAATTTTTGAAATTTGCATATAAAACAATATGGAAAGATTGTGACAACTTTCTTATGTCAACACAAACCTCGTAGAAATAGATGACATCTTTAACTTCTAGGTCTCTAATGCAGTTCACACAGAACAGGTGAAATATGCTATAAATATTTGATGAAAATATTTATCATCTTTAGGTTGGAATATGCATATATTAAATATTGACTACTGAAGATATTAATACTTAATGTTATTTTTGACAAAATGAATGTTTTATGATTAAGAATATTATAAAAGGTGCATATTTGTTTGCAAAGTATATTTAATATTTAATGGTGTCAGTGAGGGTAACTGTACAAATTGGAAACATAATCCACTTTTAAATTCATAAAAGTATAAAAATAACTCTAAAAGTATCTATTATAAAAAGCAAGTATTATAGGTTTTATTGAGTGAATAGAATTAAAAGAAAAAGAAAATTCCCCATATGTACATATAGTTACCATTCTTACTTGTTTTGTAAGAAAATAATGCAATAAAAATCATCATCATTAATTAAATACTAAATACATGCCAGGCCCTGTTGAAAGGATATACATATATTTAACTTATTTATTCTCCATAGTCAACTCTTAATATCATGGTAGTCAAGATGGTGATTCAGCCTGGAGTCAGATTGGCTAATTCAGCAAAGAGGTTCTTTACCACTATCCAAGTTACCTCAGGTGAGGCTTGAGTTGGATGCAGGACAACTGGTCAATAGGCAGAGGAGGCAGGGACATTCTGGGAAGGGCATCAGGGACATTTAGATAAACATGAATTGTCAAGTCTGATGAAGAGGAATCTATGTTAAAATTCTGCCTTACCCCTTACTTGTTATGTGTTAATTTCCTTAACCTACTGAATACTTATTCATCCTTCTCATATTAAAAATAGGATATGCTATCTGTTCTTCACTGATGTTAGGATAATTTATTTCTATGAAGTATCTATATAAAAAAATCAAATGGCTATCTGCAAGTGACATATTCCCAGAAGAATAGGAATCCACAATGGAGGTCAGCAAAGGAGCAGCAGAGGGACAGATGAAAGGAAAGATAGAAGGGAACTGTGTCAAATGGAAGCCAAGAGAGGTATGCTTCTAATCCACTCTCCACCACTGCCTGGTCTTTGCGACCTTGAGGTCACTTCAACAACTTGAGTCTCATTTTTATCCCCTTTAAACTGAGATAATAATACCTGCTTCCACTGCAGGTTGAAAAGGGAATCTGAGAAAGTGGCAGGCACAGAGAATTGCAACTATAAATATTCATTGTTCTTGTTTTCCTCCATTCTCCTCATTACCTTTATTCCAGGAGAGTATAATGAAGGCTGTTCACGCTGAATCCCAACCAATTTGAAAGGAAGGTAGCATCATTCCAGGATATGAGTCAAAGCCTTTCAAAAGAGATGAGAAAGATCTTAGAGGAAATGGAATTCAACCCTTTGCCCGATGAAGAGGAATCTGAGACTGAGGGTATGAAGAGACAAGGAGTTGAAGTTACAAGGGCAGAGCATAGACTTGACCCCCAGCGGGGGATACCTCCTGTCACCATAGTGTCTTGTAGATCATGTTAAGAAACTCAGCCTGAACGGGAACAATCTGCCTTTGCTTCTAATTTAAATGCGATGTAAAACCAACAAAGAAATGAGAGCATCTCTCCACTCAATAAGATTAACATTTCCTTATATAGTTTCCTCCCCATTTTTCGAACATTTCTCATTGTTTTAAAAATGGGAAATTCAAACCCGCTTTAAAGGAGCAGGAGAATCATTACATTTATTATGTAGAACAAACTAGTAGCTGGAGATGGGCAGCTATCTAGAGGCAGTGACCAAGCTGGTTCAAGAAGATGCACCCAGGGTCAGGTTGATTTATGCCCCTCCCTTTCCTGCCCCCTTCACCCTCCCAGCAGGTTTCAATGTCCAGCTGGCTGAAGGCTTGTTTCCTTCAAAGAGACCAAGTATATTCAAATGTAACTCTTCTGTCTCCTTAACTGTCTTGAGCTGTTTCTCTGGGAGAAATTTTTGTTAAATCTTCCCTAGCACTTTAAATAATAAATGACTTTACTCAATAGAAAGCAAAATGCATTTTTTACACCACTCCAGGTTAGAAAATGTCTAGCATGACAAACGTGAATGGCTGAAGAATTAAACTTGGGGAACAAGGGATTTTCAGTCTCTGGAAATGCTTGGGGTGGGGAAGTAAGCAGGCCAATTTGCTACATATTTTGAACTATTCCAAAGGAAACTACTGTCAGTGGGCCCCTCTTATTTTTATTTATTTATTTATTTATTTATTTATTTATTTATTTATTTATTTAAGGATTTATTTATTTATGCATACAAGAGCTGGGGTACAGGCCAGAGGTGTGGGAGGTGAGAGGATTCACCAGAGACAGAGCAGGGAACACAACAGGCAGATCCACCAAAATACACAGCTGAGGGGAGCAGCGGGTGAGTCAGGCGAGGTCTGCTGAGCCATGTGGGTAGCTCCCTGGCCAGCCGGGGATCAAACTCATGCTGCAGAGGTTGTGGATTTCTTCATAGTGTGGTGCTTAACCCCTTGAGCCACCAGGGAGGCCCCTTATTTTTATTTTTAAATGTGCACAATTCCTGGTGGCAGATAAACTAATATTGTCAGGACAGTATAAATTCCACAGAACATAATGTTTATGGCAGATGACTTATCCCCCAAGAATAGTAGCAAAGGGATTCACACACAAAAATGTGCTTAATAAAAGAACATGCTTCCTTCCATCTGAATGTTTTATGGGCTACAGAAATATTTGGAAGGAAGTATTGAGTTGAGTAACCTAATACAAATATCAGTTGTCACAGACCACAGATCAGCAGTGGCAATTTCAAGAGGATTTTAAATTCTCTTAGAAATGAAAGTTGACTACATCAAGGCATCATGGGTGTTGCATGTCAGGACAAGTTAGAAATTATACAAAAGTCTCACCTCAAGCTGAAGTTTCTAGCATCTTACAAGATACCAAGATAATGGCATCACCCCAATTACTAATCAGGTCACAAGATGGTGAGCACTCATTAATTTTCTGGTTATTAAAATTTTAAAATCAACTTGTCAATGTTAGAATTAATAGTGCACTATGCTGTCAGGTAAAAACTGTGAAATTCCTGCCAAAGATTCTTGAAGAATTGAAAAATGATATCTATGTACATAGTAGGAATATACACAGTAACTGCATCCTACTTGTTACAAACATTTTTTAACATTTATTTATTTATTTATACAAGCACTGGGTACAGTCAGAAGCGCGGGAGGGTGAGAGAATTCACCAGAGCCAGACTGGGGAGCAGAACAGGCAGACTGATGAAGTACATTGCTGAGGGGAGCAGCGGGCACTGCAGGAGAGGTCTGCACACCGTGTGGGACCCTCGCCATTGGCCGTGGATCAAACCAGCACTGCAGAGGCTGCGGGCAGCTTCGCAGCCCAGTGCTCAACCGCTGTGCCACCGGGGAGGCCCTTGTTACAAACATTTGCAGACAAAAAAATAATAAAGAATAGTTTCATAATAAAAGTCATATGTATGTTTGATTTTTATCACATATGTGATCACAGCCACACATGCCTACATGTATGTGCACATATATGTATATGAGTGTGTATGTTTCATCTATGCATTTTCTGTTAAATGGAATGACTGTGACCGAAGTTCATGCCATTGTTATAGTGTTGGAATTTTTTGCTTTCTATGGAAAAGCATATGATGTATATAGTCATTACACATTTTCCTATTGCTTTCTTCTCCCACCCAGGCTGTGCCTTACTGTTTTACCATGTGAAGCAAAATTTGTACACTAAGGAAAACCATGACATGAAAGTTCAGCCCCAAATTCTCCATTAACAAGAAAATAGTCAAATGGAAACTATCCTCAGGGTTAACTTTCTGAGTCAAACAAATTCTGGGTTAAGTCCAGGCCATCCTAGTCATGTAGCTGTAATCTCCCAAGTCTCAGCTTTTACATCTGTAATATTAGAATATATTAAATAAGTCTATGATTAATATTGTAGTTAGTAATATTAAAAATTATAAAATAGGAAACATACTTTGAATAATGCCTTAACATGCGGTAGACTCTCAATAATTGTAAGCCACTATTACCATTGTATATTGAATTATTTTAACTATTAAGTATTATTAACTTAAATAAGAGTATCTTCACCACTTTCTTCACTATCTTAACTTGTACATCTGTGGTTACTAACCTATGCTTTTACCAGCACAATTTAAAGATTCTCACACAGAGACCTTCGGAAAGGATTTGGGAAGTTCATTTAAAATAAAGCGATGCCTGGTAAACATTAGGATGATTGCATTTCTCATAAAATAGAATAAATCAAATTTTTTTTGGTTCTATTTTTTGTCTCTGTGCTTTCAGTAAGGGTCATCTTACTTTGCCCTTGGGTAAATGTCTTGAATTTCCCTTACAATGTTAGATAATAGCAAGTTTTGTGATCACGCTGACCTCTGCTAACACACACACGTTCCCGAGTTGGCCACATGGATGTATGGCTGGTGAGTTTGCACGAGCACCAGGCTCCGACAGGGGCCCAGGCACAAAGGGCAATGCTTTGTGGACTAGTGCTCTCTTAAAATGCTTGGTAGTTTTGTCTTTGAGTTTGTGTTGTATAAGGGAGGACCCATGGGGCTTGTCTGTGCTCCTGAGTAGTCCCACATCATCACAGCTCCTGGTCTCCTAACTCTGAGTTCTCAGGCTGGGGCCTGAGCACTGGTCCTAGAAGAGTAAATGAGTACACACACCCCATGTACTGGGTCATGGGGCAACATCAGGGCCCTGGGCGAGGACCTGTCCTCAGCAAAGTCCTTGTACCTAAGAAAGTGTGACATTAAACAGTACATAAAATCTATAATGCATCAAGAAGGAGAATACAGAAGAAAAGGGAAAAAAAACTATTTTCTTGCTTTTTGAATCAAACACCTGCATGTTCTTTTTGTTTTGCCCGGAATGTGATGGAGCTGAGCCAGCTCCCACCCATCTTTGTGGGCAGTGGGGAAAATGCTCAGCCTGCTGACAGCCTCGTCCAAAGTCATTTTGGCATAATTCAAATATCTTTTTTGTTCTCTACCCTCTGATTCCTTTTATGTTCTTGATGTGCCTTTGAGGTCCAAGGGTAGTGGAATTACTTCCTCAAATGTATTTTGGTTCAGAAATTTTACATCTTACATTTGCTCTCTTGTCCACATTTCCATTTTTACATCCTGTTAAAAATGTGACTCTTTTCTGTGTCTTCAGTAGGTTTCATTCTTTAACTCAACTCCTTTCCCAGGAAAGCTGTAAAATTTTCCATCACCATTGATGAGTTACAGGTTGAAGTCTGTCTTGAAAAGATTCCACTAAGAATAACCAATGTTTGCCCCTGATTTCAAATAAAAATATAATAAATACTGTGAGATCCTCACTCTGTGTTGAGCACCACTGAAAATACATATTACACCTTAACTCATTTCACCCACATAATACTCTATTGAGGTGGGGAGTATTATTAACTCCAATTTATAGATGAACAATTTGAGGGAGAGAAAGAGAGAGGTTAATAAACACCCTCATTTAGGAAGAAAAAACTAACAAGTGCTTGAATCAGAATTCATGTCCAAACATTTTCCGGGTACCTAGTATGGTGGAGGAACCAGAATTAATTCTTGCTGTCTTCATCCTCCCTGCCTCATCAAAAGCAAAATGAGTAACAATGATATTATTAATTTATTCACCAAGGACTCACTTGGAAAGCACTAGGCCATGTTATTGGTATTTTATAATTATATTTTCAAAATAATTCTTTGAAATAGGTCTTATCCCTCGTTTGAAGATGAAGAAGTTGAAGTTGACAAAGGATGAGAATTTGAGCTTGTTCAGAAGGCAAGGAATGGCTGCGGTGGTGCCCTTCAACCCCAGGTCCGTGGGAAGCTGGGAGCCATGGTGCTGAATGTCAGCATCTACCACTGTGGCTGTGGCTTCAGGGATCCCATCCAGACAGCCCACAATACCTCCAGCTCAGCCCTGGGAGCCCATTATCTGCATCTCGTCCTAATTCTAGGTCAATATCTTTAACAGTCAACAAAAATTACATGTCGTGGTCTCCTCCCATCCCCTGCAGAGAGCTAACTTCACCCACACACCATTGCATGTCCATCAGCAAATGACTTAACTACTAGGCAACCTACCAGTTTGCCACCATTTCTTGCCATCCAGGTGCCATTTATACTCGTTAAGTCCTTTGCCACTTGGCGAGGAAATTTTCTCCCTTGATATCTTGTCTGTAGTATTGGTTCAACCCTGCAGTTAGTCTTCTCTGCTTGGGATCACGCTCCACTCTTCTGCAGGAAATCATTTTTTTTTCCTGTATGAAAATGGAAGATAAAATATAATGAAGTGTAAAGCTTAATTAATAAAAGCCATGTGGCCTTCCCTAAGAACTGTGATTCTCAAGAAATACAGATTTTACCATGAAATTGCCTTGAACTAACCCTCCAGTGTTTTTCCATCCTCTCCAAATGAGGAGAAACTCAGCATGGAATACGCAGACTCAAGGATCGCCCCCCTTCCTATCCACTAACCTGATGTCCTGACCAATCCCTCCACACTCTGACTTTCTGGGGTGGTGCACCTGATGACTTAGAGCGAGGCTGGAAATCTTAGCTCTGCTGCATTTTAATATGCAAATTTAGATCTAATATCTAAATGGTTCAGTCTCTTTGCCTATGATACAGGAGTATAGCTGGTAGGTAGCCTATAAGACTGTTCTAATGTTTACCTAAGTAAATATATATACATGGACTAAAACAAAGCTTGCAAGTAATAGGACTTATGCAAATATGTCACTGTTACTGTCAATTTTGATATTATTATTGTCATTAAGAGTAGTCATTGTTATTTTGTTTGATCATTATAACCAGGGGAAAGAGAAAGTAACCATATGGTTCAACTTCATGGAGTTGTGGATACCAGATCCCTGGCTTAATTACCAGGCTTTTGAATAGACCTATCTGTTGGAAATGATGAAAAAAAAGAAGACATGTTGGAACAAATTTTCTGCCTTCCCTCCATCCTGCCTATCTCCCACTTCTGGTGTCAGGATGTTGGTGGTAGTGGTGGTGGTGGTGGTGTGTGGTGGGGGCTGGAAGGGGGAAAAACACAATAAAATAAACATTCCCAAAGCAACTCCATGTAGAACAGCCTCGTGGGACATTCCCTGAACATCCCAGGAGGCACCTGCCTTTGGACATCAGTGCCAACTTTTTCTCTGCCCAGGACAACACCCATTCCCAAGTCTTCTTCAGTTTTTATCTGACAGACTCCCACTTAAATTTCAAAAACTAGCCCATGAGCACACCATTCCAGGAAATCATCTCAAGTTTCTCCCAAATTAGTATATATCACCCCCTCCTCTGTGTGCCTTGTGTTATGGATATACCTCTATCTTCAACTCATTAATTTGTATTATGAGTCATTTGTATGTGGTCCTATTTATAAACATTGCCATGTAAGAGCCTCTAGGGCTATCCTCATGACCTACCATAATGGAAATTAAGGTTCTCAGCCCACATTTTCTAAATTGCATCATATCACATCAAATTGCATCAAAGTGAGATGAGGTCACATTAAGTAGTTTTTTTTGTGGTGTTCTAATTCTGGAGAAACAGTCTATTTATGAAAACTACCAATAATGTAATGTTAGTGATCCAGAGGTAACAATAAACAGAGTTAAGTGCACCTGAGCTAATTCGTTTTTTTCAAAATACATCTGAAGTCTTTACTCCCACCAACAAAATCCTGCAATGTTTTCATGGTTTATATTTTTCTGAGTGATTTAATGTAAAGGGGATTGATCAAGTTAAAGAAATATATTGACATTTTTTAAAGAACCAGTGAAACATCAAGAAGCTAAACCTGAATCTACTGACTGTAAAATTAAGGACTTTATGCCAAGATCATCTGCTTTTAAACAGTCATTTTTGTGCTATTCGGTGTTGACTTTTAGACTACCTGTGATCGGTATCTAACTTTATGAACTTGTATGTGGAACTCCAATAATATTGATATCTCATAACTCAGCAACCAAATACGAATTTAGTAAAGCCCCTACAATTTAATCCCTCTTTTTCATTAACTAAGATGCATTTTTGACCTTATCCTATTTTGTTATATTTCATGTTTTCCTGCTTTCTTTGAAACTTTCATGTTAGGACTCTAATCCTTAATCAAATACTTAGACACCTATGAACACATATCCTCATAGGGCAAGGTATTTACTTGGACGTTTCTTTTCTCATAAGTGAGAATTATATATGTCTTGTGATTTTGCAATGTGTGCTGAAATAGAAAAATCACTGAGTTAAGAAATACAGAAAGAGTTGCCCAAATGGGTAAAAAGTTGATGTCAAAGAAATATCATGATAAAATAAATGTCATTTCTAGTAAAATGATTCCTTTCTGACCAATTATATTTTGCATATTTTGTTTCCTCCAGTACACACTCTCTCTATATAGATAATAAACCTCTCTCTCTCTTTCTCTTTCTCTAACTCCCCCCTCTCTCCATCCATCCATCCATCCATCCATCATCTATTGATCTCTCTAATCTATACGTACACAACAACACTATTGAGATATACTTGACAGGTGATCAGCAATCACTCTTTACTTCCTCTCTACCCACCCAGACCTGATTAAATATGAATTAACTTGCTGTCCCTACAGATTTAACTATTTTGAATATTATATTAAAAAAATCACACAATGTTTTCTGTAGTGAGTGGTTTCTTTCACTTGGTAGAGTGTTTTCAAATTTCAACCATGTTGTACCATGAATAAGTCTTTTAGGTTTTATTGTGGAATGCTTTGCCATTTTATAAAGATATTATACTTTATCCATTTATTTGTTGATGAATCAGGGTGGTATTAATGATTATGACAATAGGGCCTCCCCGGTGGCGCAGCGGTTGAGTGCTGGGTTGCGAAGCCGCCTGCGGCCTCAGCGGCGCCGGTTCGATCCCCGGCTGCTCCCCGGCCACCAGAGGAGGGTCCCACATGGCGCGCAGACCTCTCCTGCCGCCCGCTGCTCCCCTCAGCAGTGTACCTCGGTCCTTCTGCCTGCTCTGCTCCCAGCTCTGGCTCTGGTGAATTCTCTCACCCTCCCGTGCTTCTGACTGTACCCAGTGCATGTATGAACAAAAAAACAAACAAACAAACAAATAAATAAATAAAAAAAAACATGCCTCTATAAAAAAAAAAAAAAAAAATGATTATGACAATAGAATAATTTCAAGGCAATATATTAATAGTAGAATGAATTTGATTAAATGATAATAAGTAATGAATATTATACATTTGTTTGAAACTTAAAGAATTCCTGACAAGATTATCTGTAATCTGGATCTGAAATTATAGTTAGGTAGTAAGTGGAAAGAGCAGAGGGCTAAGAATGGACATGGCTAAATGCAAAATAACAGTGCAGAATAACACAAAAAATTTCCTTTTCTGTATAATGAAGGCATCACACTTTTCTTACCAACCTAGTGCATGTTCTGAGAACCACATATTAGAACATATGCAAAGCATATTAAAAATTTTATAAATATACTTTATTTTTTAAATGTGCTTCTTTACAGAGAGTTTGCAGTTAGAAACACAAAATATGGCCTCTTTATATTCTGTTAAATACAATCACAAGCTTCTGGGGATACTTTTTTTAAAAAAAAAATTGTTTATTTATTTATACAAGCACTGGGTACAGTCAGAAGCGCGGTAGGGTGAGAGAATTCACCAGAACCAGAGCAGGGAACAGAGCAGGCAGATTGAAGAAATACACTGCTGAGGGGACCAGTGGGCGTGGCAGAAGAGGTCTGTATGCCATGTGGGACCCTCGCCGGGCGGCCAGGGATAGAACCAGCATTGCAGAGGCTGCAGGCAGCTTTGCAGCCAAGCGCTCAACCGCTGAGCCACCGGGGAGGCCCTTCTGGGGATACTTTTTATAGATGTTAACTTACTTAGCATCAACTCCTTTGACTTTTATCTTTTACTGTTAGTATTCAAACATAAAGTAAGAGTTATCAGTCTCTAAGATGGGCGATATGTGTAGCTTAATTATCTCCAAACTTTTAACATTCGATTAGTCCAGCTATTTGACATCAACAAGTAATGATGTTTCTCCTGTGTGTATGAATTATATGAATGAATACCCTCAAGACAGTCAAATTAACTTCTCCTATGACTATGTTCTCACTGGTGATATCAGATGCCAAGTCAATTACCTTGCTGATGGCAAACACCTTTCTCTATGTCTATCAACAGTTTAATTTGGAGGGGATTGAGTTTCTTTTCAGCAGAAATATAAATATACTCAAGCTTTTATGGGGGTATTAGAAACACTGCATTTAGGTTTTCAAACTATCCATTGTTTCTTTCTTTGTTCTGCTTTTGAAACATTTATCTCTTTTAAAAGGAATTGCCAGAGTAAATATCTGATTATTGATACACTCCTAGCTGTTTTTATTTTATTATTACATTGTCTTGCTGAAGCTGATGGCCTGAAGGAGGCTCTAGGGTAACAGGTTGAATTATGCCAGCCAATTTGAGCAAACATCTAGTTGAAACTCACATTTCCCTATGGAGAAACCGAGCTGCAGAAGTAGTTGTGATTAGTCAAATGGTTCTCAGCAAATTGGGGCCAAAGCAATGATTAGAAAATCAAATTCCTTAGCTAGGTAAAAGTAAAGTGCCAAAGTTTTTACTATGTTGAAATGTATTTTTTCATATGGTGGTTTTGGGAAGAATTTCCAGACAGTCAAGTTAAAGATGCAAATGTTATATAAGTGACACCTATGAGTGATGGTGAAGCATTTCTAGGACTCTAAGGGGCAGGTGCTGATGGATTTCATCCACAATACAGTGGCTTAGAACCTGGGGAAATGGCCCTCCCCGGTGGCACAGCGGTTGAGCGCTGGGTTGCGAAGCTGCCTGCAGCCACTGCAGCGCCGGTTCCATCCCCGGCTGCTCCCCGGCCACCGGAGGAGGGTCCCACATGGCGCGCAGACCTCTCCTGCCGCACCCGCTGCTCCCCTCAGCAGTGTACTTTGGTCCTTCTGCCTGCTCTGCTCCCGGCTCTGGCTCTGGGGAATTCTCTCACCCTCCCGCGCTTCTGACTGTGCCCAGTGCTTGTACAAATAATAAATAAATAAATCTTAAAATAAATAAATAAATAAATAAAATATTAAAAAAAAAAATAGAACCTGGGGAAATGTTATCTCAATCAGTAAACAAAAGTATAAATTTAAAAAAAAGTATATATCTTAATGTATTTTAAGAAAGCTAAATAAATAACATATTTGCAAAAGGGTTCTTTCAGCAGAGAATGTAAAATGAGGAAACGAAAGCATGGGGGTTGGGTATTCTGATGAACTTCCCCCAGAGTATTGGGCTTCCCCAATGGTCAGTCTTAGCTATATATATGGATGGATCAGGTTATTTTATTGACATGCCATTAGTCATTAATCTCCTCCTTTTGAGTCTTCTTGCTCTATTTCTGTAACTATCCAATAATCCTGTGATTATAATTTGGCATCCTGTATAGCTTTTCTACATGGTGAGGTTCTTCTAAAAGTGGTGGTTATATTTTTATTGAAAAGTAATGTGTCATCTAGTTAAATTAATGACAAATTTGGTTTAGCAGGAATCTGACTCCTTAAAACAGATTATTGAGAAAAGTTGTTCTATGAGAGTTGTAATAATTGAGTATATCAGAGAGAAAGGGTCTAAGACCAGGCCAGAGAAACCAAAAGTCTCCCAGGGATGATTCTAATGATAACCTAAGAATGATGTTTAAGGTTCCTCTCTTAAGCAGTAAAGGTAATAGGTGGCATAGACCTGGTACTCATGGAAAAATGTTCTCCTTGACTATGCTCTTAAATTATGGAGTAGAGGGGAATTTAGGGGAACAGAGCTCTAGGGAAGTTTAAGAACAAATTGGGAAAAGAAATAAAAATTTGGTTAGCAAAAACAGAGAAATGGAGAGCAGAGAAATAACTTTTGTATGAAAAGAAATAATATAAAATGTGTTATGTTTCAATTCAACAGTGGAAAATCAGGTTGAGTATTGAAAAATTATATGTAAGTATATATATATGAGGATCAACAGAAAATGATCCCATGTGTCTAAATTCCAGATCTACTTTTCACTTACTAACCATTTACCCATTCACTATATTCTCATAAAAATATTATATGAAAATAACCTTATTCCTATAAGAATAGTTTATCTTAACCCTAATTAAAACATGATACATGTCATGATTTAGGATATGTATCAAATGTTATATGTCATATAGTATCATATATATGTATAAGATGACATATATATATATATATATCTCACGTTAAAATATGTCTGACTGTTAGTTAACACTTCATAAATACAAGATTTAGATAGGTGGATCCTGGTTTTGTTGACTGCTGAGTTCTTTCTGCCTGGAACTTTTAAAGAGGTTAAAGTCGAACAGATGGAAGTCTGGAAATAATAGGCCACAGACAAATGTAGGTATAGAACTGGGCCAGCAGAAAATTGGAAAAAACTAGGATGATTATATGATGACACAAAAAACCAGTTTCAGGTCTCAAGGCTCAGAATGAACAAACCATTTCTAAGTGAAGATGCAATACAATGTGTGTGTCTCTTTGTGCTCACACAATGCTTCCTTATCAGTTATGTCTCTTAAATTTCATGTATTAAAATTGCCATTTCACAGAAAAGGGATCCAATGGAGAGCAGTAAAATAGCTTTGCCAATATTAAGGAAACAGTTTGAGAAATATCAAAAGCTTGACTGTGTTATTTGAGATAAATAATAGAGTTATTCCTTGTCCCACAAATAAAAATATATAGTATTGAGAGGGAGCAATTCTCTTCCCTTGCTGATGTTTTTCCAGGTGATGCCACATAAAATAAAGATGTAGCTATTTAAATAAGTCATATCATGTGTCTGCTATGAAATGCAATGTTATTCTTTTGATTTGGGGGGGTAGGTAGGCAATAGCTCTTTGGTTTTTTCTTGCCAGTTAGTCATGAGTTTAAATGCATGCTTTGTAAGCACTTAAAAACTCTGCAATAAGGAAAAGGACATTTTCCCCCATATGATAATATAATATGATTATGGTAAAAGCAAAAGAACCACTTATGAGCTTTCTAATCATCAATAACCATTATTAAATAATTCTCAATATAGTTAAAGTTGCCTAGAGTTGAATGCTTATAGAATATGAGATTGGGTGATACCATATATTAATAGTTGAAGCAATAGAAAATTAAGGCAGAAAGTGGGCAGGTTTTGTGGGGTTGGTGGGCTGCTCCTGAACATGTTGAAGATTTTGAAGGACAAAAATAACAGGCTGGGTGGTGGCGCAGCGGTTGAGCGCTGAGCTGCAAAGCTGCCCGCAGCCTCTGAAGCACCAGTTCGATCTCCGGCCTTTGGGCAAGGGTCCCACATGGTGCAACAACCTCTCCTTCTGCTTCCGCTGCTCCCCTCAGCAGTGTATTTCGTCAGTCTGCCTGTTCTGCTCCCCGCTCTGGCTTTGGTGAATTCTCTCACCCTCCCACGCTTCTGACTGTACCCAATGCTTGATAAATAAATAAATAAATCTTTAAAAAAAAACAATAACAGGCTGGGGACTTTTAAATTTCATCCCTACGCATAATTAGAAAACAGGCATTTCCACAACAGCTCTTCCATAGGACTATAGGGCAAATATTTCACGAAACCAAATGCAAAACCTTCTCTGACAGTTGTCTGCATTGCAAAGTGCATGGGAGTCACAACCTCCTCAGATCTCTTGTGTTAAAATCTGGAATGGATGGGGCTCTCACAGTTGGTTTGGGGATTGTGAATTCTCAATTCCTAGGGTGTGTGTGGGGCAGGGGAGAACTTCCTCCCTATCTGAGTACCTATGCTTCCCCTTGACTAATGATCCTGCTGGAGACAATGCTCTTCAGCAGGCAAGCTGAATCCCCTGCAGACCTGATTCCACAATCCTCATGACCCAAGGCTCAGTTGCAATATATTCCAAGGAGCACATATACAAAGTCTGAGAAGAGTTTTCATACTTAGACAAATAGTGTGAAATTTTACAGACTCATGTAGGTAGAAACCTGAGGACTATGCAGTGGAGTGGACTATAAGGGGGCTTGGTCGGGGAAGGAGGAAGGCAAAGTTGAATCAGTGTGAATTTCCAACACGAGAAGACAGACTAGAGATTCTGGAATCAAGGTTCCTGGAAGCAGCCTGGTTGCAATCTACATCCATGGCAACATTGCTTCTTCAACATTCATGCAAATCCTGCGAAAGAAAGAGCAGCTTCCCTTTCTTGGCTGGATTTAACCACACGCCCCCCTCCACAGCACCTGTCCAGTAACCATCTCAGCCGCACCTTGGAAAACATGGGCCCATTGTTTGCCAGTGCTGCTATGACCCCGAGAAGATGTGTGTCTGCAGAGTCTTGGGCATCCTTTCTCCAGTCACAGCATTACTGAACCTACAAGTCTGATGGAAAGGCTGACTTCTAATATCATTTTATTCATTTCGTATTAATCAAGTACCATTGTTTTACACTCCGTTAATGCTTTGGCAATAGCTGATTTCTCCCCTCAGGTGTGCTCACCTTTGCTCTCCCATCACCAAAGCATAGTCCTCTGTCATAGTCCATTGAGCTCTCCCCCACCCATCCCCACATTCTCACACCTCCTTTCACTCTCCCGCCACCCCCTCTGCATGCTTCAGGTCTATGGTCAACTTTCAAGTGTTGGTTTTAGTGCTTGTCTTTGGTTTCTCTAACCTCCACTTTCTCTGAGGGCTGAAGCTTCCTGATTCTGAGGAAATCGTCGAGGAACTTAACAGATGTGGCTGGTAATTTGTGGTATGGGTGGAGGAAGTGTTCTGTTAATGCTATTTTGTTTTCATGTGTTTGTTTTGTGTGTATTTTAATTAGGCTCAATAGAGTAATAATGGGTTTGCTCTGCTGTCTTTAACACCATAATATTTTTAAATCAGAAAACTCAGACTCAAAAAGATTAAATGTTTTAATCAAATGCACATGAAAAATAAGAGGTAAACTGCAATTAAAATGTCTAACTGAAGCCACAGAATTTGTTATTAAAAATAAATCCCTTATTTCTAGCAAGGGGTCAAGAGCTTATGAATCAATACATCATGCATTTAGACCTGACAAAGCTCTTTGACTTGAGACGAGGCGATGGGCAGGGTTCTAACCTCGCAGATCATGTTGTCTCGATCAGCAACTCTAAACTTGCATTTATGTTGTGACTTAATTCCTGTTTAATAGGATTAGGAGGAAAGAATTTAGAATTAAAGTAAAGCTAGTGACATCTTGACATCGAATTTCTTTTTCTATTAAACTTTGAATTATCCACTGATTAATTTTGTGATTCTCTGCTATGCTTCCTACCATATCCTTTCCTCCAAACAGGATCACACACCGGAGCAGCCAAATATAAACATTATAAATTACACATGTAAATCCATGTTTATCTGTGACTATCATCTACACCATGTGAAGCAACATGGTTTTGAAGAAAAATGATACAAACTAGAGAACTTGTGTACTACATTTTTGCTCTGCTTACTCCAGGCAAATTTCTCAACATTTTTTAACTCCTGTTTTGATGTTGGTAAAATGAGGATATCACTCTGCAGGGTTAAGGGAAGATTAAACATGATGTTTGGTATAAGGCATCATGGCATCAATATTAATACTGAAATAAATATGTAATCTTGGGCAACCTGACCTTTTGGGATTTCTTTAGGCACCTGCTACAATGGATCAATCACACTCCTTCTAGCGCGCTGTTGTGCCCGTAGTTGGAGCACTGCCAGCGTTCTCGTGGACCTCTGGTAGATATGGAAATTGCTAAAGCTGCCCATTATTGTCTCCAGCCAATGCAGGAAGACAAATAAATAGAGCAAGAGAAGAATTCACCCCAGCAGGCATCAATTGAATCAAAAGCATTTCCAAATGTCTAGCTTAAATGCCATTCCTGAAATAATTCCCATGGATGGAAGTCTTGCTGATGATAAAGGAAAACCACATAACATGTAAGATGAGTATTTCATAAGCAGTGTCCCTAAAAATGTGAAAAGTTCTAGATAGGTCTACTGGGGATATTAGGATGAGAAAATACTTTCCTTGCCCTTTATGAATCTTTAGGAGGTATCGTTTAAAATGGAAAGTGGACATTTTTGTGACATTTATGACAGGCCATATGGCAAAATGTATTAAAAATCTTAATGAATTTATTACATATATATGCTCCATGGAATACTACTTAGCTACTTAAAAAGATGAAATTTTACCTTTTGTGCAATATGGATGGAAGCAGAGAAGATGAAGTTAAGTGAAATAAGACAAAAGTAAAGGAAAATCACCAGATGGATCCTCTCATTTGTGGAATTTAAATAACCAAACAAAATGATCTAGAAAAACATGACAAAAATAACTCTTAGACACTGAAAAAAAATACAGTGGGTACCAGGGGAAGGGGTCAGGCAGTGGCAGGAAAGGCAGAGGGTTCAATATGATGAACACACTAGGACGTGGGTGGTGGGTGGGAAAAGTATGCACACATACTGAGTTGTGAAGATATACTCACAAATAATTTTGTAAATGAATGGTAAATCTGAAATTTGATTTGACACTTTATTACCATTAACCCAGTTATCTTTTACTAATCAGTAACAAAATACAGGTTTAATGTAGAGTGTCTCTTCAGGGTTACTAATTAAAATTATAGAATTTAATGTTATATCCCCAAGTATAAAATAAATATTCACAAGTCCATGCAGAGATAAATAAACAATTGAATGAATAAATAAAAGGGGTAGAATAGACAAATGGACTATGCAGAAGAACAGAAATAAGTTATGTAGGTACTACCCACTTAGGGAAGTGCATATTTTTCCCACTTTTTTTTCTTACACCATTGTTCCTTTTTTACTTTTAAAGGGTGAATTGTGCATAATTACTTTCAGATAGAGTGCAGTATGAAAGGGAAGTGCTGCGCTGTGAAGCTGTCTGCAACCTCTGCAGTGCCAGTTCGATCCCGGCCTGCCGACGAGGGTCCCGCATGGCACGCAGACCTCTCCTGTCTCGCCCGCTGCTCCCCTCAGCAGTATATTTCATCAGTCTGCCTGTTCTGTTCCCCGCTCTGTCTCTGGTGAATCCTCCCACCCTCTTGAACATCTGACCTGTACCCTGGTTCTTGTGTAAATAAATAAGTCTTTAAAAAAAAGGGACCTGGTAATAATAATAATAATAATAATAATCAATAATGGTTTGCTAAATGTGATGGGTATGTTTCATATTAATGTGAGAAGTTAATAACAGGAAAGACCATGTCAAGCACATGGGGATTCTACACCATTATCTTAATTCTATCAATAGAAGACAGTTATAAAGCAGAAATATTTTTTAAAATAGAAATTTATAAAGAATAACTGTTCATTAATAGAAAATTACTAGATTATCAAATATTTACCAGTGATTTTATCTGAATTATGAGCTTATGGGTGATATTAAGTTTTTTTCTTAATATAAAAATTGAATTTTAGCCAAGAAACTTAGAATATTTCCAAACTTGGATCCATTCATCTATTTACAATGTGCACGTGCATATGTATACATTTACTGTCTTTAAAATCAGAAAATATAATTGTTAATATTTTTTAAAGATGCTACATTTTTTGAAAAGATAACCATTAGAAAATAGTTTTCAGAAAATGAATTATGGTACAGGAGAATATATTCAAAACTTTTAAGGCACAACACACAATTCAATTACATATAGTGAAAGTTTACAAATAAATGTGTGTGGGGGTATTTTTTTTTTCTTATGAAAAATAACCTAGAAAAAACTGTTTTGCCATCCTATCAGCTTGTAGACCTCCCCTGTGGACTTGTACCCCATTGTTCAGGAAGAGGAGTTTCTGATTGTATTTTGATGTCTTCCAGATGGGTTTGCCCATGGCGCCAACTGGCAGGAAGTGGAATTTGGAAGGGGAGGTAACCCAGCCACTTAGATGTCAGTCTCCTCTGACTGCCAGGCTGTCAACATCTGGGCTCTGCTAACACTCCCGCTTCTTTATTCCTCCAATCTAAGGGTATCCAACTGTTGCTAATTTCTGGCTACTTTAAGATCTCTTGTTTGCAGTTCCTTCACCTCCCATGTAACATAAAAATCATTGAAAGTCCTCCCTTTAAATACTTAGGTGTAATTCACTCTGCCTGATTGCACCCTGGTTTACATACAAATAAATACAAATATTAACATTTGTTAATTTGTGGTTACATATTTGTTGAGGTAAGTTAATATTTTTGCACCATTCAACACTGTCATGTTTAAAAATTCTTCATCTTTCAATAAGATTTTGGGGTATTTTCTTCCAATAAGAACAGCTTTCCTTTTGTCTATATGTACAGGTAGTAACTGACTGGCTTTCTTTTCACTAGTAGTTCTAACTGGCTACTTTCCATATCTGGAAAAGCAATGGATTTGCTAACACTCCTTTTCTAATAAAATTTGAAACACTCCTTTTCTAATAAAATTCAATTTTCATTCTGGGATTCCGCAAAATTTTTGCAAAAAGCAATGACCCCTCACTACCTCACACTTCAGAAAAGAAAATAGTGAAAGCTTGAGTTTGGAATCAGAACGACAGGGATTTGAATGCAAACTCAGACAGCAAAATAGCTGTGTGATCTCAGTCAATTTCCCCATCTCCATAAATCTCAGTTAAATCCATGGTAAAATAAAATTATGGGTAGACTCATATTGGATGAATATGAGTAACAAATGGAACTGCACTTAAAGTGCTTTAAAATTGGTCTACAAATTAATAAAATTTAAACACAACCTATTTGAGTATTACACAATTAGTAGAAGTTTTACCATTGCCTTGAAATAGATTTCATCATATTATGGAGATATATTTTTGCATGGATAATATTCTTTAAAAATTCAGAAAGAATTCTGAGACAATGAAAGTACTTTTTAAACATGAAAGGTATCATCTGAGCGTTTGACTTTTATCTATACAATATGACAAATTGTGTTAATAAATATTCTAGTATTGATCCACTCTTCTACCTCAAGAAGATTGAGACAGATGCATTAATTTATTCTAATTAAACTTTAGATTTAGCCATTATGTTTTATGTATAACAGCTTTTCTCTAAATTATATGCTGTGATAGTCATTCATAAAAGTGTCAGATGGTTAAAAGCCTCTGAGTTTGGTGCCTGCCAGTCTGAGCCTCTAAGATGTCCTAGGACATCTATGAGACTTGGCAAGAGGTACAGAGTGTATGGAATGCTTCCCTCTGCAAGCTTTTTTGACATTTTTTTCTACATCAGTTGCAACTACCCAATAGTAGACATTTGTTTTGAGGTATTTATTGAGCACTGAATGTGTACCAGATATTATTTTAAGCACTTGAATTCCAATGAGGAAATTGTTTCTGAAAATATCTGTGCAGCAGATACAGACAGAAATGTGCACCTTTCTCAATATTCCATCTAGATGAACAAGAAAAAATAAAAGGACTCCCTTGAGAAATCCTTACTACAAATTCTTGTTGGATTGCCTAATAAAATCCACATTATCAATGTACTTTTCACACACATTCTCTCTCTCTCTCTCTCACTTGCTCACACGCACACACGCACACAATCTCAGACTAGCCATGTTAAAGTAATTTTAAAAAGAATCAAATTAAATATGCAACCCGAGGCAAACATTTAAAAATTAGGTCTAAAAAAAGTTCCATTAAATACAAACCCATAATAAAAAAAAGTATTCAATAGAACATCAAAGAAAGAAAAATAAAGTGAATCAAATAAATAAATAAAACTTCAAAAGATATCCCCAAAGCCTATACATATCAGAGTTCTCAGGTGCAAAATGTTCAACATTATAATATATTTAAATTAATTCTATAAGCAGTAAAAGGATAATGCCACAATAGGAAATGATCCAAAAAATTCATAGTAAAGAAGGAATAAAAATGTAGAAATTGAAGGTATTAAAAAGTTAATCATTGAAATAACATACACAGTAGTTTCACAGTAGTTTCACTAAGTTAGACATAACTTGGAAAAGAATTAGTCCACAAGAATAAGCAGAACAGATAATGCAGACTGTACTACCAAAAAGCAAAGTACAGGAATTGGTGGAAGGGGAGGGAAAAGCAATTGATAATTGAATGAGAGCTTCTATATATTTATGCAGAATCTGTAATGAAAAATATACAGAAGTGATATAAAAATTGATGATGACTAAGTTACTGAATTGATAAAAAATATGCAGCCCCAGGATTCATTAACTTCAGTAAATTTTAAGCAAGACAGAAAAAATCTATAAGAAGAGTCACTAACTGCAGAATATAAGAAAACAATCCTTTTAGGAGACTAAAATTCTGTTCACAATGTTGTAGAAAATATCCGTATTTGAGAGATGTTTTCAAGTGTAAAATTAACCTAACTATATGATTAATTGAACACAGGGTATGAGGAAGAGTGAAGTATCAAAGATGACAGCTATGTTGTCATTTTCTCCATGGACTAGGTGGTGTGATACCAAACTGCAAGGTCTGGAGCAGGATCTGACAAGTCATTCAAAGATCTGCTAGCTCATTCGAAATGAGATCCCAGTAGGCAGGTTGGCATACCTATAAGGTATAACAAATGGAGCTCTTAAATATGTATTTATATTTGAGAGTGATTCATTTTCAAGGTAGTAATTAAAACATTGGGAAATCATGAAATTGTCTGGAAGGAGATTATAGAGAAGAGAGGAAGGCTTCGATTAAAATAGTAATGGACTCTAAAACTGAATGGCTAAATATAGAAGACTTTAAATATAATGAAAAGGGAGAACCAAGGAGAAAGGCTAGACAGACCAGTGATATTTCCACCTGAATTAAACCAGCAGTGCATGATGTGGTTGAAACCAGGTGTGTTAAGAAAGAAAATTTGTAAAACCAATATGAGGAATGGAAAAAAATGTCATTTGGAGTTAGCAAACTGGAGATGTTTGATGAATTTACCAAGATGGGTTTCAGCTGAGTGGATCAAGGAACTAGCCACACTGCAATGAGTGGAGAGGTAAGAGGGCAATGAATAAATGTGAACGTTAAGTTGGAAAAATCTTTCAAGAAATTTACCTGTGAAAGGGAAAATGATGAAGGACATTGGTTCCATAGAAAAGTTTATTTCAGGGCCTCCCCTGGTGGCACAGCGGTTGAGCACTGGGCTGCGAGGCTGCCTGCAGCCTCTGCAGCGCCGGTTCGTTCCCCGGCCTCCAGCGAGGGTCCCACCAAAAAAAAAAAAAAAGAAAGAAAAGTTTATTTCAAACTTTATACACACACCAACACTATACACACACACACCATTGAGTAGAATAAGACAATTGATAAATATA